CATCACGAGTTGTTGTCACAGTCATAAATAGTTGTCTCTGTTATCATGACAAAGTCATTGTTTGCTGTGAGGGCAGCTGTAGCGCCCCCTGGTGTTGAGTCTTATTTTGGCACAAGCTGACTGTGGGGTCATGCTGGAGGATGAAGTCACGCATGGAACTCTGACACCTCTGCAGGTCACCTGTGGGTGTCAGTAGGGAGTCACATGGTTCGATTTGATGAACTGGAGCCAATCAAAATTCAGGAGCTGGTCATGTGTGACACAAGTGGAACAGGATAAAATCGCTTCATTGATTTAATGAGTCAATGATGCTGCTGTCTGTGCTGAGCTCTAATGTGGGCGAGCATCAGGGCCACATCACGGTCGCATCGCTCACTCTGAGTCAGCTTCGTCTTCCTCACCTGTCCCATGTCTCGTTTCCTCTGCAGGTAAACCGTCTGTCTGCTCCTGCTGTAACCCACGGAGACGGGACGACGATCACCGGGTCACAGAGGTCAGTGGAAGGTCACGAACAGTCACAGGAACAATCTTTAAAAATCACGTTTCCTACTTTACGAGCGAATAATTAAAACGAGTGAATCTCTCAGTCTGAGTTTCAAACATTCTGTTTTATTACTGCCTCTAAAAACAAGCTGCACATGCAGCACTGTGCAAAAGTCTTGAACCAACCCTCATTTCTTTATGTTTTGCCAGTAAAATCTGAAGTTTCACTGAAACATGAACATAAATATTTGGCAGCTTTTGTCTTCAGCACAGCTGAACGCTGAGATTCAGAGTCACAGGTCTGTGCTGAGCGACGTGCAGGGAAGCCAAATGTAGAGACCGCACACATGAACCTGCAGCATGATGTTAGTTTGGCAGATCAGGTTTTTTACTCTTTGTATCTCTGCAGGAAGAGTCTTTGCATTATTCCAGCCTGAAGCATCCAGACAAGCCCCGCCCCACCACCAGGAGAGGAACCAGATTGGCTGAAGAGAAGGTCCTGTACTCAACAGTGAACATGTGCAAGAACGCATCACATGACCACAGATAGAAGCACTTTAAATGAGCGTAAATGATTTTTTTTAAATTAATAAAACTGTGAAAATATGTGATGAGTAGATTTGTTTTGTGTAAACAGATAAGATTTATTTTTCAGTGAGCAGAAAAACTTAAGAACCTTTAAATGTTAAATATCCAGAAAGTTGCAATGAAAATAAAATGTTTGTAAAACATTTCTGTTAATAATAAAGTAACATAAA